GACCAAGGGGAACCTACATATAAAATTTGAGAAAGATCCCTCTAGTACTTCTTGAGAAATAGCAATAACAAACTTTCACTATCAAAATCCAAGATGGCTGCCTGTCGGCCATGTTGTTTATCCGATCAGTATCAAAAGCTGCCCTGCACAGCTAAGGACCAAGGGGAACCTGCATATAAAATGCATATAAAATTTGAGAAAGATCCCTCTGGTACTTATTGAGAAATACCGATAACAAGAATTGTTTAGGACGGACGACGGACGACGGACGACGGACGACAGACGACAGACAACGGACAGACGACGGACCACGGATGCAGGGTGATTTGAATAGCCCACCATCAGATGACAGCAACAGAATACTGAAGTGTCAAAACCATCATTCAAACTAAAAATTTATAAAACTTAGGCAAAATATGAATATTGGAAAGACCCTTGAAAAAGAACAAGGAGAATAAGATCAGGTGTTCCAGACAGGTAAGTGTCTAGCTACTGCTTCATCGACGTCACCCACCATGTTAATCTAGGTAAAATCCATTAAGTAATGTCACATCCTCCCATCGAAAACTCAGGTAGTGAAAATGAAACCCGGTGACAAAGGCACTCTAGTATTTTAATGTGCATGATAAAAAATATTGACCTTAATTCATACCACACAAAGAAATACCACATTTCCCTGCAAGATCCTAATAGCGACAATTTTTTTTTTTGATATTCTTCGATCATCAACCTGCATCTTTTAGAAAACCTGTGTTGTAATTATATACATAAGTTTATTAATTTGTCTGTCAGCAGACAACATCTATCACAGAAGTCATGAAGCAAGCTCTGGAGCACTGAATCAACTTTGACATGAAATCACTGTAGGTAGGGGAATCAGGGATGTTACTATTAATGGGCGTATTGGTCGAGTAGTTACCACTCCGCAGCCTTCCACACAGGCGGCCGGGGTTCGATCCTCGAAGTCGTTGTACGCATGGAATATTCAGAGAAGTGTTTTTCTCTTGCCCACACAACTCCAACAACCAAGGTGGAGTATAAATGATCTGTGGTCGATGTTACGGTATCTATGCTGTAGCATTCAAGTGAGGTGGCACTATAAATGATACCATTTGAAACACTGTCCCACTACAAACAGAACACATTACATCTCCAGCACACTCGCAGACATACACACATAGGGAGATATTAGCCAGGTGGCATAGGACTAGTAGTTAGCGCCTGATAAGGCGGCTTCTGCGAAACATAGGAGGGCAGTGAAGCTGCTTAAAGGATGTGTTTTACGTTTTCCAATATCCGTGCTGTATGTAACTGCGACAGCCTGTCCGCATCTATAAGGAGCTGACCGTCCTTAGGGCGTGACTTGGACGGGCAAGGTCATTTTGAATCTCGGGCCCGGTAAGCTGGAGTCTTACCCCCTCAAGACGACCATACACGGGCTTCGCCCGTGAAGTGTAGTCTATAAACCCATCAACCAACCAATTCCTCAAATTGTATTGATTAATGTATATATGCTAATTGTATTCATTGTATATCTATGTAGTGTAAAGCGCTTTAGAGTGGCTTTAATGTTAGCTATATCAAATGTTGTATATTGTATATTATTATTAAGAAAGGGAATGTCCACGATCAGAAAATCAAAGATGAATACATTTTCATAAACATTTGCATCTTCAGACAGCACATCACTCACTGCCTGCATGCAGTAATATTGTTTTCTATATCATTCTGAGTTAAATAAAACACTGCACTTATAAGCCATCCGAATCTAAATCTTCCCTAAAATGTAAATGTATAAAGTCAACATATATATATACAGTTTATATCAAACGTTTCATAAACAATACATGTACGTCTTTGATCTCCCAACACATACACTGATACAGTTTACTACTGAAGTAATTTTGTATAAAACAGTATCAGTTGAGTTGGACAGCTGTTTGTTCACTATTAACTGTGTAATGTATTAACATATTAACTTTACATCACTACCTACCGTCTATATTTATACCAAATATGGCACAATGAGAAAATACTCTCTACTTTCAGTTTCCACTTCTCTCCATGAAGTTGTTTACATTCTGTTCCTCCATGTTCATAATCATGTGATGAGAGTGACCCAGAAATCAAACAGCAAATATCATTGGATAGGTTTAAATACACTTAACCAATCAGAAATGGTGTCTTACAAGGGACTCGGAAAATCTAAACATTAGTTTGTTATAAAATGGCGGGCGAGAAGTTACGAACTCGACCTCTTGTGAAGTTTGAACTGCTTTAGATGTTCGGGAAAATGTGTCTGATGATTTTGAAGAACGATTTAAGTGTATGAAGCATTGGAAACACAATACAAGGATAATCTACTCAGCGTAATCAGTTTCTTTGAGGAAACAGGTAAGAAATTACCGTCGTGTACGAACTTGTTTGTCAAAATATGTAATGTTACCTGTGAAGCACATGTGCTCCAGTAGGGTATGTGTTGTTTGTGCATGCTGTATATGATGATGTAAATCATGAATGCTTAAACCTTCAGACGTACGTGCGTGTGGGGACAGGTATTAGAACGTTCGATCTTGGACTTTTTTGTTTTGTCGGTCGATACTGTGTTGCATTTGTGTATATATTGAAAAAGCTACTAGCTAGGATGTATATTATTACACAGCAGTCGCCCAGATTGGTCAGTTTTAGCTGATAAGGCGATGGTCTGTAGATAAATAAATGTTAGCTACTGTAATACAGATTGTAAAGTAGTAAGAATCAGCGTGGGAATAAAAGGGTAAATCAATATTATCATACAATATTAGCTACATTCAATTGGCTGAAATTGAAAATGAAATCTATGAGATGGCTGAAGCTGATCGCCTGGCAGCTGGTTACCAAAGACAGTAATGGAAATGACTATTCACCAGGCAACCTGATAGCACAACAATTTTGTTATGTGCCTGGCAATCAATGGGTTCCAAAAATAGTAAACAAAAATGTTGCCCATATGGATCGATCCCCTGCATGGGCATACTGACATCAGAGGGGTATTGTTACTTATCTACTTATCTACTTCATATTATAGTACTAGATTTAGCTTAATTATATATATATTAGCTACCAAGCAATACTGTCATTCACAAATTTACCTTCCTGGCTGTCGAGTGTATACATCGTATAGTCATTCACCAATTGTCCAGTACGTATACCCCACTCAGAAAGAGCTTTACCAGGAACATATGGTCACAACATCCTTATAAAAAGGATGTTTTTGTGTGGGCCTTGAATATAGCAAATTAAAAGGTTTAGCCTGTCAAATTTTCCCAAACACTACCTGAGACAATTTGGTCTATATATGAAGTCTGAAGTATCCTAGATCTGATTGTTAAAATTTGAATAAATAATATAAATTTTCATATAATTATTATAAATTGAACTATGCGATATTTTTAGCCTTTTCTGTATGTATATATATATAATTATACGTTGACTTTGACTAATTTGACAACAGATGTTTTAACGAGCTGTAAAAATGGATCAAGACAACCATTATCACACACAACAAGATATACAACTTAAGGTATGAGGTTTGGATATTTAATCCCTTTTGAAAATCTTGCAGTTTGTTGTCTTTTTCTTACCATTATTAATTATAATTCTATAAATATTCATGATTCCACTATGGAAAATGGGGGAGTAAGCAATATTAACTTCTCAAATTAACTGGTGTTTGGTTATTCTTCTGAGCAATTTGAATGAGATCCAAGAAAATGAAGAGGTCATTTTGAGTAACAAAAAACTAACATGCAAAGCAAAGGTGAGATATAGGGATCATTCTGTCAGTATTGTTGTGTACAGAAATTGTTTCTGTATGCGTGCAATAACTCAGGAATGCTTTGATTTACTCTCTTCACATATCTATATAAAGTGCCAATGAATTACTCAAATTTGATTTTGAACCAATTATGAAAAATCAGCATATGGCTGCCAGCAGCCCTCTTGGATTTTGTGAAAAGTCACATGGTTTCCATGAAGCATTTGCTTTGACTTTCTTGAAACTTAATTTCTATTTATATATATACATACCAATAGTATAAACTACTAATTTATTACACGAGGATGTCATGTAAAAATTACCAATGGCCAACATTTTGTTGTCATCAATATATACATATACTAACTAGCCTTCATCCTTGATTCAGATGAAACCTCAAGCAAGAGTTCAGTACAACATGGTACCTTAAATTCACATTTCAAAGTCCTGGTACAAAGGTCAGGGTCACTGAAGAAAACGCTTGTTATATAAGCACAGCTACTGTACATGAACCATCCTCATTTTCAATCAGATTCAGATGAAACTTTTTGCAAATGATATAAGTGCAGTATATTATATAGTATACTGTATATTGAACAAATTTGCATATTAAAGTCCAGATCCAAGGTCTCTGTAACTATATATACATGTATGAACTGTTGATGTTTGTTATTGCTCTACCATCCAATGTTTATCAGGTTTGGGTGAAATATTGTTAAATATTTGAAAAAGTGTTTTAGGGTCTTTACCCTGTTACTCAATCTCGATACTCCAGGGTTTATGCTCACTTTCGCTCTCTGCACCCATGCAATATATATATATGTCATAGCAAAATTGAAGGCACACTACTAGCTATTTTTGATTGGTCTCGGGTAAAAACACCTGACCATCACTAGGCTGATATATACCTGTCCTTTGAAGATTACAGAGGAGCGACGCCCGACTTCAAAGTCAGTCAATTTTACTGTTACGCGGCCATGATCGATATTCTTTTGATTTACATTAAAGGATCAAACTAGTCTTCTTGTCTCACCCACAAAGTGGCTCATACAGAGCCTTCAATTTTGCTAAGACATATTCCAGGGATGAAGAGAGCGTATTGTATAAGTAGGTGATTGTAAACCCTGGATATCAAGCATGCCTGCATGAAGTATTAAAGTAAAGGGTTAATCTGTCATTGTTCTTCGATATGCAGCTTTACATCATTTTCAGTAAATTTTAAAACAAGTGTTAGCATTTCAGAGGCCTGTTTACTTGTACTTTTGCAGTTTTTTATCTAGTTTAACAGCCGGATACAGGCTGCTTCCCCTTGCAAAACATGTGCTTTATTTTACCCAAAGTGAAGGGGAAAAAATAAAGAATATCTTCCTGATTTCAATGAAAATATTGCTATATTTTTCCAATTCATGTATACTTAGGAATGGGATGCTGTAAAATTTACGTAGAAAAAACACTTTGAACAAGCCAGGTGATCAATGTGGTGGGGAAATTCGTGTCTATATTCGACAATGTCAACTTTCCATATATGAACCATTGAAAATTAACAAATTAACTACATGTATTAAAATTTGGGATGTTGAGATTTTTGTAGGTTTTTGATACCTGTATTTGGTGTGTTAATTTTTTTTGTAGGTTTTGTAAAATTTGGTATGTTGTGATTTAGTAATGTGAATATGTACATTTATGCATTGCACAATTTTATAAATTCCAAATTAGAAAGTCATGGAAAAGTTCAAGTGTATAAGCTGCCAAGCTAGTACACCAGGTGTATTGAAAATTAAATATTTCACAAAATCACTCGGGCTATTTAAGATGTACATTAACATGTAAGAATAATTTAAATAACATTGAATTATGATAAATGTGGTAAAATTGAAATGCCATATGAATATATAGAATTCAGAAATGATGTAAATGTTTTAAATAGACATTTGAGTTTTTCAATTTTTAGGTCACCTGAGACAAAGTCTCAAGTGACCTATTGCGATCGCCTTTTGTTCGTCGTCGTCCGCCGTCGTCTGTCCGTAAACAATTTACATTTTCGACTTCTTCTCCAAAACCCCTGAACCAATTTCAATGAAATTTTGCAGGGACCTTCCATGGACAAAGGTCAACAAAAATAGT